TTTTTATTAGGCAATTAATCATGGTACCGTTACGTTTAAATCGGCTAGCAATAATTTTCCAATTGGTCTTTATCTGTAATTATTCTCATTTTGAGCCCTCATTTGTAATTATTTTCATTTTTGGGCTCTTATCTGTAAATTCCCATATTATTATTACAAACACATCACACAATAAGTAAATAGAAAGAATACTTAAAACGAACTAAGTGTGAATAATATTATTAGTGTATGAGAAGCTGGAAGAATATAGTCTACTTATACTATAGCCAGCACAAATGTAAGATGTGGAATGACTATCATGTATATAGTATAACTTTTAAATTCTTTGACACCAGATATTATTTCAAAATATTGCATATCTCTTATTATCAAACTTTATGTAAAATTTGTTCATTTCTCAATTTTAAATTTTCCATTTCCACGCAAGTTATTTAGGTCTAAACTATTCAAGTGGATTCAGAATAATCATACCATTCATGTTACAGCATAACAATTTATAGTTTAAAAGATAAAAATATAAAAATAATTAAAAGCAAACACATAAAAAACTAAGAATTTGAGCTTATGAACCCTTTTTATGAATTTGAAATACTTCATATTCTTCGACAGAAAATTCCGAAATATTATGGTCAAGAGTATTTCTAATTCGTCGTTCATATCTAATATCATTCGGATTATGGTAACAGTAGCATTTACCATTTTGATCATAATTATTTAACATATAAATACCATAATAAAAACAAGGTCCAGTATTAGCATCGCAATAAATAGAATAAATTTCGTTTTGCGATATTTTTACTCGACTTAAAATAGAATTTTGGATTGTACCATTTTTCAAAGAAAAGATGAAACTTTTCTTACATCGTAACAAACCGACAGATTTATCCCAACCAATAGGATTATAACCACCCAAAATTTCATCAGTTCCTTTAACTTTCATAACTACAATAACATTATTTTTCTTATCACATAAATTCCAAAAGGTAGCAGTGGTAAAACCATCTCTGGACCCGCGAAGAAGTAATTTAAAATCATAAGAATTATTTGATACGGAATAAGGAACGACATCATTATCATCAATCCAAGAAACGATTTCAGCAGCATGAGCATCAGTAATAACAGTTGAAAAAGAACTTCTAGTTAATAATGAAAGACTAATATGATAAGGGTGAATTATTGAAGAAGAATGATTGACAGGAGTAACGAATCTTTTCAAAATATCTTTCCAAAAGTTTTCTTCAAGGATCTTTTGATAAGGTCGTACGTTATGAATAATATTAGCACCGGAGATTTGAAAATGACTTATAAGAAGTAAGCAATTTTGTAATGTAGTCTTCATAGTCAAAAAATTTTCTTGGGACCAATTTTCAGGATTTGACGGCAATTTAGGATTTTGAGCAATTCCCCATTTAATAAGACAATCCCAAACATTATATTCATCCATTTGTAAAACATCATATCCAATTAGAGAGGCTAAAATATTTTCACGAATAGAAGAGAAATCCTCAGAGCTAAAATCAATATTTGGATACTTTGATGCAATATTATTACACCATTTTAACAGTTCTCGAAGCTTGTTATTTTGAAAGCAAGTTTTATAAACACGAGTAAAATTTGAAAGAAGCCAGGAAGCCTTATTTACAATCAAATGGATTTCAAGACGCTTGGCCAATTCTTCAAAAAGAAGCTCATAAGCAATAAGCATGAGTTCAAAAATGAAAGTAGCATCAAAATCTTTCAATAAAACTACACCACCATATATATACCTTTATACAATTTAGCATTGTCATTATTTTAAAAATAGAAAGTGTTAAAATTATATATATATATATATAAATAATAATCTACTTACTTTATAATAATTTCAAATTGTTGTATGGAGACATGATTTAAGTTGATAGTCATTATATTATTTTCATTTTTGCATAAGTTAGCTAATTCATTACGAAAATACAATGATCGAGATTTCAAAATTGGTGAATGCGCTTTGAATATTTTAGAGTTTGGAGATTTTCCGACATTGATAATAATATTAAAATCATCATTATCATCAAGAAGTTCAAGATAATTGTCTGAAAGTTTTTCAAAAAAATTTAAAGACATTTTTAGATTAGATGAAGCAACAAAGTAGAAATTTTTATCGATAAGATATTCTTACATAAATGAACCTAAGCAATTATAAAAATAATAAAGTTATCGATTTATTTACGTACGTACGTACTTACAAATAAAACGGATTAACGCCCTACTTTGGGTACTATTGTAACTATATGCAAGATGAACGGCTTTATGCTGCGTGCTACACGAATATCATCAATTTTAGCCTGGAAAAAGTATTTACAATTTTATACTTTGTACTCTGACATCTTTTTTCATCAGATTATCTCTATAATACTTATCTAATAGTATCAATTTCTTCAAAAGAAACAAAATTACGTATGCTTAAAAAAAAAATATAAATATATATAATCACAAAGTAACATCCACTTGCGTAGTATTCAAGTACGTTATTTGGAATAAATGATCGATTTTTTTGATCTCAAAATGTATGTGCTCTTAGCGCTAAGGAGATTAAATGATTATCAAACAAACTAAATATGGATGTTTAAAGATGTACGCTATTGTGGAACCCATGAGCATTGCGTATTTTATCATGTATACTATTTTAATAAGGATGTTTAGTAGTTTAAAGGGATCAGGTCCCGAAACTGCTTAAGGGTTTATTTGGTGGTCCTACGTAGTTCGAAATTTAAATTCCAAATGAAGTTAGAAAGACCCAAATCTCGAACAGTTTATTGTTTTTTCAATTTGGAAGGTCAGTTTTTTGTTATACGTATTGCGTAGCAATACGTATTAGTATTAGTGTGCACCTATTATAAATTTGTGCACATGCACGTGTGTGCGTACAAAACTAAGTTTGGAGCTTAAAGTAACTTTATAAACTCGGATTTTTACGGAGAACTTCGAATGCAGCTTTCACAGGATATATACAGGATATGATTTAAATGGTTTAAATTGGTTTTAAACCGGTTCAAAACCTGACTTCTATAACATGACTGAACAGGATTTTCAAATTCCCTACTGTATTTGTGAAATAACGCCCGGGGCATTATTTGGGGCATGCAATTTAAAGAGAACTTATAATTAATTTAGCCAAAGATTTTTTAAAAATAAGATTAAGGATCGAATTCGGTTAAATTAATTATTAGCTCTCGTTAGATTGTATGCCTTGAAATAATGCCCGGGGCCTATTCCGCGCAAATATGGAAATTTTTAAATGTTGTATAACGCAAGACTTCTGGGTAAGATCAACGGATTTTCGTTTACCTATAATAGACTATATACAATTTCTAACGCTAAGGGATCTCTTGTACTATATACACTATATATGGCTATAATTAAGATAAATATCAAAATGACTCGTTAACTTAATGAATTTGGATGCTAGTTTAATGCCATCTTACTGAAAACTGTTTTTAATGGCAGACTCACCATCACCCTCTAAAAAAAAAAATGGCCATCGAAAGATCTTAAGAACCCACAATTGCCATGCTTTGTGGATAAATTGTGTAAGGCTCTATTAAAAGCGAGGATATTACTTTTCTAATATTAGATCTGTCTATTTATGTTGTATTGATAAATAGTTCTGCATCTATATAGGTTCATCCAATTAGTTTTAAATTTTTAATCAATTAAGAACAATTAATTTTCAACATCCGATAATTTGGAGATTCGCTAGTGGATGCGTGAAATGAACGATTTCGTATATATTGTAAAAATTAAATAATAATTTTATTAGAAAAGTAAATATTATTTGGTTTGAATTTAGTAATGCATTCTGGTTACGTATATCGACACTCTATATATTCATATGTCAATTTAACCAGAGGCATTTCCGTATTAAATATCGTTACGACGAATTTATGAAATTTGAGTATTTGACTAAACTATGAAATGCGTCATTTACTATATTTTTTTTGACATTTCTTATTGTAAAATCATATGAATAAGGCTAACCTATCTTCCCATGAAAAGATGGGTTAGACACTATCCATATGATTTTGCAATAAGAAATGCCAAAAATATAGTAAATGACGCATCTCAAAGTTTAGTCAAATACTCAAATTTCATAAATTCGCCGTAATGTATAGATTCAAAAACTAAAAAATATTGTATAGTGTTGCGCAACAAAGTTTCAAAATTAAACTTTCGCTTGTGTAACATATATACTTTGTAGTATAACCATTATACTTTTACGTATATACTTTTGCGTGTAACAATTTAATAGTTTATGCGAAGCATAGAGCATATCTTAATTAATCTTTAAATAACTTGTAGCTTATTTTAGAGTTTATTCATAGATATATATAGAACGTTATGTATTTTAGTTCTAGAGTCTGGTAATTAGTTTTTGATAGTGAGTTTTAGGATTTTAGGGATTTAGTAGATTTGTACTTTGGGTTTTAGTGCGTTGGGAACGTACTAGGTTGGTTAGTTTGAGAAGGATATTTGTTATTGCTAGTATCTGAGACACAATAAAGGATATTGGTTTAGTACTTTGGATACTTGCAAAGAGACAATAGATACTTACTTTCGTCCCTTTAATGTTGACGTCCCTGAGTTAAATCAATAATGATATACAAAGTCTCTCTCACTGGACGTCACAGTACCCATCTCTAACACTAGTTATATTAAAAGGCACAGATATGACACACTAAATAAAATTACTTGCTTTAGATTAGCAATAAACTTATTTATAATTCACGACCATACTCAAAAATTCTCCAATCGTTTTGTTCGACCTAACTTGAATTTTATTTAATTATTTAATTTTAAAAGCTAAATTGCTATCATTATTCAAATTACAAATTACAAGTTCAATTACATCAAACAAAAATTTTTATTAATAGTTTCGTACTTAATAAGGCAATTTTATTGATTTCCAAATTTTTGAAATTTTGAAATTTCTGTTAGTCTTGTGATGGTTCTGGAGGGTAGATTCAACTTTCACAACTCTCCGTTTTGTTCGCTGCAATTGTCTTTTTTATTTCTTCCATCTCATTCCGAGATTTCTGAATGGTTTCAATTACATTTATTACATGGTTTGCAGTCAGGGATTCTTCTCTACTCTGAGCCAACGTTCGCGCTGTGTGAAGGATATTACGAATATCACGACCATTCAATTCATATTTACTAAAATTATCAGCTTCAAAGGATAGATCAGCATTCTTAAGGAAATTTGTCCAGATTTTATGTCTTTCCTTAATGCCAAGTTTAGGGTAATGGATAGTCATGTTAATTCGCGAATATATTGCATCATCCAAATTCATGCCACGATTTGTTGTCAAGAAGAGGACGCCTGAAAAAGTATAAAAACATGGACTTCGTTATAAATCAAGCATTTGATTAAAAATCACACATTTAAATAATGACGAATAATAGCAAAATTTTCCTACCTTGATAATATTCTAGCAGCCGCAAAAATATGCCAACTAACGTGTTACGTTTTAGGTCGGCAATATCACGTTTTTCGAGGTAAATGTCAGCTTCATCGAGAAGAATAATAGCATTCCACTTAATGGCGACTTCTAAAACGCTACGTAATTTGTTTTCTAGGCTATATACAGAAAGACGATAAAAATAAGCATAAAATAATGGTATAAGAATGTAACAATTTACAACTATTTTGTTACGTACTCTACAGGATTTGTTCCAAGCTCGTTTACACTAAGTGTCCATAATGGCCTTTTGAGAAATTCGGCAACACTTTCAGCAGTCAATGTTTTCCCAGTACCAGGTGGTCCATAACATAAAAAAATACAGCCTTTACCCTTATTGGAGATGGGATCAAGCGGTTTTATTCTCATCTGGCCAGATTCACTATACTGCATTACCAATCCTCTAATTATATCTTTTTTATCTTTGGACATCTCCAATTGATCAAAAGCATTTTCATTAAAATTAATTCTTGAAAGACCCAAAACTTCAAACTGACCCCATTCTTTCAGCGCGAAGCTAAACCCATATACTACCGCAGGTGTAAGAAGATAGAAATCTTCTTCATTTATTTGATCTAACTTGATATAATCACCTTTTCTGGTAAGAAGTTCAATGTCACACTTATTTGGTGGTTTGGCATTTCCCATTTTATAACCTGGATTCATAGTTGCAAAGCTTTGGAGATCAATAATGACACGACCATTGGCCATTGTCTTTTCTATTTGCATGCAACGATCTACTTCCTTCCAGCGCAATAACGAACCATTATAATTCATAAAGCAATTTTGTTTTCTGGAAATTTCCATAAACATTTGTCCTTGTCTAGATATTTCATCCTTTAGCATTTGATTATCATTATCATCATACTCGCGTAGTACAATTGGTAAATATGAGAAGTCCACTTCTCCATCGAAATATTCTATTCTGCGTCTTATAATGCAACGCTTAAATGAGTAGCCATCATGATAAATCATTTGAACATTTATGTCAAATATCTTTTTTCGAGTCTTTGGATCAATTCCCTCTGATGTTGAAGAAATTTTACCACCAATCTTCCGATCAGACATAATACATTGACTAATGGAATGATTTTTGATAATATCAGTAAATTAATGGTAACAAATAAATTTGCGATAATATTGGAAAAGAAAAAATCATATTAAATTAAAAATTAATTCAGATATAAATTAACCAATAAAGCGCCTCTATTCATATACAGTCGACACTTGCTATACCGAATCTGCTTATACCAAAATTGGGCTATAACGAACTGGATCTGGCAGTACCAATTTTTTATAATCATTTAGGCTGGTTATACCGAACTCACATAGTAAATTTTTTTTTTTTTTTTAACGCGAATTGGCTTGCATATAGTAAATTTTTATATATCGCATCTGAACTCCTTTTTACTAGCACAGGACTATGTCGGACTATGTATACATATTTCGATATAACGAACTTATTATATCCGGTTGATTATAGCCCCGGAATATTCCGAAAGGAAAATGAATACGTAAACACAAAGTTTCGAGTAAAATTCCGATCCGAGTCCATGAACTTAATCACGTGCGCGTGATTTTATTGGTTTGCTCTATAATATGCCGAACTGTTCGGTGTAGAGAGAGCAAACTATATAACGAACTTACTCTACACCGAACAAAATCTTCCGGAATCTGCAGTTTGGTATATCCAGAGTCGACTGTATTATAATCATTTTGGAAGCAATTTCATGTACTTACCACCATACTTCTTGATTTGCAGTATAGAATACCCACAACATGTCAAACGAAACTTTTTTACTCATCTTCATCCTTTCTCGAGTTTTCGTCACCTGATCATATTCTTGTTCAAGGAATCGAATCAAGTGATTCACTTGGATCTTTGAGTCATGCGCTTGTTCTAAGAAGTTGATTCAAACTTATTTATTAACAATTCATTACATGCTAGAAAGTTACTTAACTCAAAATTTTTTTATAAAGAACTGTATAAGTTCAAGTCACTTACCATTATCAGCAGCTTCATGCATCTCATCTAGTACGTGATACAAATTCCGAGCATTGATCTTAGGTTCTTTGTTAAAAATTTCTTTATTGTTAAGAAGGACTGTCTTTAGAATTTTGATCAACGTGAAGGAGTATAACTCGACGAGTGTTCGGTGAAAGCCCCAAAAGTCACACGAATAAATAACATTAAATGGAACGTCTGGTTTGTTTTTATCTTCTTTCTTTTCACGTATCATTCTCCCTTTTGTATGATCGTACCATTCATCGAAATATTTCCACTTCCAGTTTTCGTCGACTGAGATAACATCAGAGTTATTTTGGACTTCTTCAGCGGAGTTACTGTTTTGCATATTTACGAATAATCTTGAGAAGTATCAAAATTGATCTTTGAAAAATGTAACTTTTATGCTGCTTACCGTTATTTATAATAATCATTCCATAGTTAACTGTGTATAGGAAGTCTTGTTTCAAATTCCGATTGTACTATGAATGGTACTGAGATAGTTGATAATATCAAGTTCAAAAAAGTAAGTATAAACATTATTGAATTTGACATTTTAAGAAATGATTATATACCGCGACCCACGATTTTCGTGATAACGATGGTGGGAAATTTCAAAGTTTCGAATTAATCTATAAATCATATGGGCTAGTTGCTGAGAAAAGGGACAAATTTGACCAAAAAAAAAAGATCTTCGGAAAAATCAATTTTTATGTTATAAAGTTTATAATAAATCATAAGAAAATGCAAGCTGTAAAGAGCTATACTTAAAATTTTATTATAGTGGTTTGCAAAAAGGTGTGACCCATGATTTTCGTGATAACGATAGTGGAGATTCTAGATTTTTTTATCAATCATATATTCGATCAGTGATATCTATATATATTTGGAAATATGTATAATCCCTTAGAATCGAAAAATTGTCCAATTTTCCGCGATTTTACATTACACGATGATCTGCAGGGTCACACCTTTTTGCAAACCACAATAATACAACTACTTTTGTGTTTTAAATGAAAAATGGTTTTAATAAGTTGACTTATGTAAAAAGATTTTCTTCTAAAAAAATTGTCAATTTTGCCCCCTTTTCCAGCACCTAACCTATGTATTTTCAATTAGTATTGCGGTTTACAAAAATGTGTGACCCCACGATTTTCATAACGATAACGGAGAATTTTGGTGATTCTAGATTTTCTATCATCGATTAGTAATATCTATATATATTTAGAAATCTGTATAATTCCCTTGGAATCAAAAATCGTCCATTTTCTCGTGATTTTACATTACACGATGATCTGCGGCGCGTGAAATTAGGAATAATACAGATTTCCAAATATATATAGATATCGCTGATCGTATATATGGGTGATAAAAAAATCCAGAACCTCCGAAGTTTCCGTTATCATTACCACAAAAATCGTGTGTCAGGTTCACACCTTTTTGGAAACCGCTATATAATATCTATATTTACTTTGGAGTCTGTAAAATTATCTTAGAATCAAAAAATCGCCTAATTGATTTACATGATTTCATGATCTGCAAAAGTAATTACTGTACAGTACAATTAAAATCAAAATTCAGCACGAAACTTCTACATCCCGTACGAAATCGTATGTACAATCTTAATTTCCATGCGTCTGTCCTATTAAATAATATACAGTCAGACCTCTCTAAATGCAATGCGACGGGACCATATATAAAAATTTAGTCAAACGTGAACTTAGAGAGGTGTTGCATTTAGGGAGGTAAAAATCTATAGATGTAATATT